GGAGTTAGGAAGGAGATGGAGACGCGGTGGTCGGTGGTTGCGCGACAACGAGGAGGAGCGGTCTAGCTGCGTGCGGGGCGTTGGAGGAGGAAGAGGAAGAGAAGAAGAGGATGAGGAGGGTGGCGACGGGGCTGGAAGGAAACGAGAGAGAGGGAGAAAGAGAGAGAAAAGAAAAAATAAAATATAAACTTATATATCTATATATGAAAGGGATTAGGGTTATGGTTTAAATAAAAAATACACTAAAAAATAAGGAAACAATACAAAAAATACAGGAATAATACGAGAGAATGAAATATGCTAATAAAAATCAATATAAGATAGTCATTAATAATAATAACAGAAATAAATAATCAAGTATTAGTTTAACAATTTAATTTATAACAGTGAAATCATTAAAATAAATATAATATGGATTTTTAATTCATAGAAAATTCTAAAAAATCAAGAAAATACAAATACTCTTTTAAAAAATAAAATTTAATATTTAAATACCAAAAAAATTTATTTAATCCAATATAAAAAATTCATGGTCATTACATTGAACAAGATGTGATTAAGTTGAAAATTAAAGGGGATGGGAATACGAATAGTTATTCCTGCTAAAACTATACCCCAATCTGCTCGCTGGAATTTTCTTTGCTCAAATCGCAAGGAGTGCGTAGTTCGCTAACATTGAATGTTAGAACGATGTATGGTACATAATGGCAAGCATAAGTGGTTGTGCATAGTGAAAGGTTATTTTGTTACATTCATCAAAGCCAAAGAGTTACTATGCAACAAAAGATCTCTACCACTAATATTAATTGCAAATTGCAAGTATAAGAGGGATGAGGCATTCAAAATTCAAACAACATAAGATGAAAAACATCCAAAAATTTTATTTTATTAAGAATCCATGATAGGATTATAGATGCTGAATGCCTAAGGACTAGAAAACAAAATAGAAAGGCACATGTGAGCAGAAAAAAGAAACAATGACAACAGTCAATCACTCATGGAGTCCTTGCTGCTTGAGAGCCAAGGTTCTTGCAGAGGAGGTGCTCTAATTTCTTGACCCTCATCTCTAAGTCTAAGCAGTGATGCTTCTAGTGGGTGCACACCTCATCATCTCTTTGCAACTCCTAGCCTTGGGCATCGATGATCTGCATGGGACTTTCCTTCTTCACCCACAAGAGGCGAGTCAGCCGATAAAGAAACTAAACCTCCTCATCCATGCTACTCGTGAAGTTAGTCAAGTGCTGGCAAAGTTACTTGATTTCCTCCTTGGAATACATGATCATCGAAAGAGAAGGAGGGATGAATAAATGACTGAAAGATCAAGAAATAGACTTTAAAGTAAGCCTATTACTAGGCAACCATGTCCAATGAGCTCATGACACATAGCACAGATGCTTCGTGAGTCGTACTTCTATGCATGACCACAAAATCTAACCGGCGCCAACACACCCTCCCGAGACCATTAATATGACCCTTTATATCTTAATATGAGAGGGGTCCATAATTTTTCCAATTAACCTCGCTCAGTGCAGAGAGTATGATTTACTATGCCCGAAGAGGTACACACATATCATCTCGACTGCTCAATTGGTCACATATCTATACAAAAAGGCTACGCTTAATACATGCTATGCCCAGATCAGCTAAAACCATATGCAATCATGAGAGAAAGTAGAAAACAAACTAATTTTTCATTAAAATAGAGGATCTTTTATAATAGCTTGATCTTGCAAGCAACAAGTGAAAAAAAGAGAGAAAGAAAAAAAAGAGAGAAGAGAGACAAAGTGGTCTTCCAGTGCAGATGATCGATCAGTCACTCTTCAAGTCTTCACTGATGGAGCTACTGAGGGAATGAGAACCTGTGAATGAGGAATTGAATAAATATATTTTTGGACGAAATGGACTTCAGCTTCTATCTTTCTTTGATATAAAATATTACAAGTAGTGCACTTCTCTCTCACTATTATTTCTTTTAGCCACTCTACAACTCTTAATAGGCTTCAGCCTCTCTCTAGCTCTATAGAGCAATCACCTTACTTCTCTCTTCTTCTTTTTTTTTACGAACTCCCTTAACTCTTCTTTTTATTCTTGCTTGTGGCTTGGGATAGATCTTAACACATACGTAGTGACCTATATATAGGCAGATGGGGGTAGGTGGTAGTAGTAGGTGGCTTGCTGAACTTTTCCTTTTTCAACATTTTTCTAACTTGGTAGGTTGGACGGTGCCTAATTTGCTGGACTTGGTAGGTAAGAGAGAAAACAAAAAAGGGTTGCTGACTTCAACACTCCCCCTCAGCAGCGACTTTATTATTTACCAGTCCGAGTTGCTTCCTAAGTTTAAAAAATATTTCTACCTTCAGTGGCTTGGTGAAGATGTCAGCAATCTGATCTTCGGTTCTACAATATGTCAGCATCACAGTCTTCATTTTAACTTGATGTTGGATGAAATGATATCGTGTCTCTATATGTTTGCTCCGTCCATGTGCTATCGAATTTTTGGCAAGTGCAATAGCTGACTTGTTGTCGATGAGGATCTCTATCGGTGCTTCCTGTTGGTGTTTCAATTCCTTCATTAGACTCCTGAGCCATATTGCTTGACATATACATGTTGATGCTGCTATGTATTCTGCTTCACAACTTGATAGAGCGATGACAGACTGTTTCTTTGATGACCATGAGAATGCTACTAATCCGATGTTGAACATGCAGCCAGATGTACTCTTTCTTTCATCTAAATCTCCACCATAATCGCTATCGGTGTAGCTGACTAATTTTGAATCTGCACACTGTGTATAAAATAATCCTTGATCAATACTTCCTTGGAAATACCTGAGAATTCTCTTGGATGCCTTGTAATGCTCTTGCCTTGGCTCATCCATATATCTGCTCACCAGTCCTACCGTGAACACTATGTCAGGTCTGGTGATGGTTAGGTAGCGCAAGCTCCCGACTAAACTATTGTATAAAGTTGGATCAATAAAGTTTCCTGGCAAGTCTCTCCTTAGCTTCACTCCGACTTTTGTAGGAGTTGTGACTAGATTGCAGTTGCTCATGTTGAACTTCTGGAGGATCTCCTTTGCATACTTCTTCTGAGAGATGAAGATTCCTTTCTCTGATTGTGACACTCCTACTCTAAGAAAGTATGACATTTCTCCAATGTTAGTCATCTCGAACTCCTTGATCATATTCTTCTTGAAATCCTCGAACATTCTTGGATTGTTGCCGGTGAAGATCATGTCGTCAACATAGAGACATACGATCATAATGTCTCCATCCTTCTTCTTGGTATAGAGAGAGTGCTCATACGAACTCTGCTAGAATCCGTTCTTCTGGAAGTATGCATCGATTCTGGCATTCCACGCCCTGGGTGCTTGCTTCAATCCATACAATGCTTTCTTCAGCTTGTAGACTTTGTCTTCTTGATTCTTTACCTCGTAACCTGGTGGCTGCTTGATGTAGACTTCTTCTTCTAAGTAGCCATTCAGGAATGCAGACTTCACGTCCATCTGGTAGATCTTCCACCGGTTCTGTGCTACCAATGCAATAATGAGTCGGATGGTGTCGATCCTCGCGACTGGTGCGAACACTTCTTCATAGTCAACTCCTTCTCGCTGACTATAGCCCTTTGCAACAAGCTTGGCCTTGTACTTCTCGATTCTGCCATCTTGATTTGTCTTTGTCTTGTACACCCACTTTACTCCAATGGGTTTATGGTCTTCAAGTAAGGTGGTGAGCTCCCATGTGTCATTTCTCTTGATTGCCTCGATCTCATCATTCATGGATTTTCTCCACTTATCTTCTTGAGCAGCTTCTTCATAGCTGACTGGATCACATTCTGCAAACAAACAGAATAGTGAGTAGTCCTCCATCATCTCGACAGGTTCTGTATCATCGTACAGATCTCTTAGACTTCTCGTCTTCCTTGTTGCTCCCCCTGAAGAGCTTCCTCCACTTGAGCTAGAAGGTGATGATGTTGGCGTCGATGTTGAGGTTGATGAAGCTGGACTATTTGATAGACTTTGTTCTGATCTTCTAACCTCCTGCAAGTCATCATCATTATCTTCAAAGAATATACCTTTAATGTTTTTGTCTTTAATTGTCCATTTCCAATAATCTTCTTCATCGAACTCCACGTCTCTTGAAATGATCATCTTCTTTGTAACTGGATTGTAGAGCTTGTATGCTTTTGTCCTCCTCTCGTACCCAACGAATATGCACTTTTCTCCTTGATCATCTAGCTTCTTTCTTTTCTGCTCCGAGATGTGTGCATATGTGATGCACCCAAACACCTTCAGGTGGTTGACGCTTGGCTTGATGTTGCTCCAGGTTTCTAGTGGTGTCTTGAACTTGATGCTCTTTGTTGGACAACGATTAAGGAGGTAAACAGCACAATCCACAGCTTCAGCCCAGTAAGTCTTCGGTAGGTACTTTCTTTTCAACATGCTTCTGGCCATATTTAAAATGGTACGACTCTTCCGCTCCGCTATGCCATTTTGTTGTGGTGTGTAGGCGGCTGTGAGTTGATGGATTATCCCGTGTTGCTTGTTGAAGTTGTCGAATGCCTTTGATGTGTACTCTCCGCCTCGATCTGATCGCAACACCTTAATATGATAGCCGCTTTGCTTCTCTACCATCTCCTTGAATTCTTTGAATTTCTCTAGGGCTTCGGATTTCTCCTTTAAGAAGTAAATCCAGGTTTTTCTGCTATAATCATCAATAAATGTGAGAAAGTACCTATTTCCTCCAAGTGAAACAACATTAAATGGTCCTGCAATGTCTGTATGGACCAGTTGTAGCAGCTTTGTTGCTCGTCTAGACTTTCCAACTTCAAAACTTCTTTTATGTTGCTTGCCCTTCATACAGCCTTCACATAGCTGGTTTGGATGGTTGATCTGCGACAGTCCTTTCACAATTTTCTCCTTCCACAGAAGATTCAGGCCACTGAATGCAAGATGCCCGAATCGTAGATGCCAGAGCCAAGTCTCATCTTTTATGATTGTCTTTAGGCACTTGATAGAGTCAGCATGAATATTTAAGGTAAACAGTCTATTTCTGGACATGTTCACCTTTGCAATAACTTCATTTTTGTTCTTAATAGTTAGGGCAAAGTCTTTTAGATGTATATCATAGCCTCTTTCAAGGAGCTAGCCTAGACTCAAAATATTACTTCGTAATGCTAGAACATAGTATACGTCAGAGATGTACCTGTTCTCGCCCGTCTTTGTCTGAATCATTATCTTGCCTTTTCCTTTCACTGGAATCTTTGACTGATCTCCAAAAGTGATATCTCCTTGCACCATCTCGTTCAGCTCGGTAAAGAACTCCTTGATGCCGCACATGTGATTACTGGCACCTGTATCGAGATACCATATATCTTGATTCTTGCTTTTACCCTCCTGGTATGTCAGTAGGACAGTTGAAGTTTTTGGCTGCTCCATTTCTATAAAGTTACTTCTTTCTGCCATTTGATTTAATTTCTCCCAACATTCGTAGCTGAGAGTGCCGTATCTCTTGCACTTGTAGCACTGTGGCTGAGATCTGTCCTCCTGGTAACTTCTTCCTTATCCTCGTCCTTGTGCACCACATCCTCGTCCTCGATCAAATGATCGTTCATGATCTTCTTCACGAGCTTGATTTTTATGGCCTCCTTGGTATTGTCTACCTTGTCCTCGTATGGCATTGTAGCTGCCTCTTCCTCTGTAGCGTCCACGACCTCTTCGACTATCTTCTTTGATAGTCATCTTACTTTGCAGTGCTTGCTCTACATTCTCTGTTTGTTTTGTGCTAGTATTTATATCTAGCTCATAGGCTTGCAGAGAACCTTGGAGTTCATCAATACAAACTTCAGAAAGATCTTTAGACTCTTGTATTGCAGGAATATTATATTTAAATTTAGAGTCTAAAGTTCTAAGTATTTTCTCCATGATTCTAACTTCATCAATTACTTCTCAATTTCTTTTCATTTGATTGGTAATAGTTTGAACTCTGTTGAAATAATCGGATATTGACTCCGTAGCTTGTATCTTTAAATTTTCAAATTCTGTTCTCAAAGTTTGGAGTCGTACCTTTTTGGCTCTTTCGGCACCTTGATAGGATTTTTGTAAAATCTCCCAAGCTTGCTTAGAAAACAGAGCATTGGATATCTTCTCAAATGCTGATTCTTCTACTCCTTGATATATGAGGAACAAAGCTTTCTTGTCCTTTTTTCTGAACTCCTTCAATTCACTCTTCTGAGTGGCACTGAGATTGGCTTCAGCAGTTGGTGACTCCGGTTCTGCGTAACCGTTCTCTATGAGTTCCCATAAGTCTTGCGAGCCGAGCAAGACTTTCATCTGAATACTCCAACTGTCGTAGTTGGTCTTAGTCAGCTTCGGGATCTGTGGCTGGATCATGTTTGCCATCTCGTACACTAGTACCTTCAATTAAACCAGATAGATCGAACTTGGCTCTGATACTAATTTGATGGAATGAGAACCTGTGAATGAGGAATTGAACAAATATATTTTTGGACGAAATGGACTTCAGCTTCTATCTTTCTTTGATATAAAATATTACAAGTAATGCACTTCTCTCTCACTATTATTTCTTTTAGCCACTCTACAACTCTCAATAGGCTTCAGCCTCTCTCTAGCTCTATAGAGCAATCACCTTACTTCTCTCTTCTTCTTTTTTTATGAACTCCCTTAACTCTTCTTTTTATTCTTGCTTGTGGCTTGGGATAGATCTTAACACAAATGTAGTGACCTATATATAGGTAGATGGGGGTAGGTGGTAGTAGTAGGTGGCTTGCTGAACTTTTCCTTTTTCAACATTTTTCTAACTTGGTAGGTTGGACGGTGCCTAATTTGCTGGACTTGGTAGGTGAGAGAGAAAACAAAAAAGGGATGCTGACTTCAACAGCTCCAAGGGTCCTTATGAAGGTGCCACTGAAGCCTTCAGTCGGTCCTCTATGGATTTAGTACTGAGATTGTAGCACAAACTACTCATTGTGCTCTACTTGCAATGCCTTCTGCTGGTTCTCAATAACCCACTCGAGGTTCAACTACCTCGCTAGTGGATTGTCCACTAGTTGATGAAGGACCTTGTTCTCTTCCTTAGGCTAGGCGATTGTCATGATCAATTGTTTCCTGAGTCGGTCAATCTCTAATTGTATGTAAATAAGAAATGTTGAAATATAAGGATTATTAGAAGAAGACATTATCACTTCATGTAATACCCATTTATAGCTGCAATCATCCAATAAATGTGCTATCATAATCTGACCTTGTAATTATTACAAAAAGAGTCCAACCATTGATTTTCGTTTACTAGAAAGATGGTCAGACTGTTCAAAAGAAAAACAATGACCCATGTTATGTATTAGTTAGAAGCTATGCCTAAGTTAGCTATGCCCATGGTTGGCCGCACGTTACGACCAACACGCTTATCAGCGTCCTAAAAGGTCACCCAGCCAGACTTCAAAAAGAGGCCACTTGCCCAAACAATACTGGAACCAATATTTAGAAGTCGTCAAAAAGGGAAATCTACATTAATATGCTTATATGTATGAATACGAGATGACTTTATTAAGCTCCTCAATACACCTTTGAACGACATCATCATGCCTTGAATGGCTAAGTCCACAAGAGAGTTGCACCAAGTACGGGCAAGTCTTGGAATGTTCCACATGACACCTCTTTCAAAACAAGTATCTGTCAAGCTCATCAATATGCCTCTGAATGTTGCTACCCCGATGATATCATCAAGTTCCTCAATACACATATGAATAACATCATCATGACTTGAATGGCTAACCCCACAATAGAGTTGCGGAAAGTAGAATCAAATCTTAGAATGTTGCAAATTATAGCTCTTCTAAAATAAGCATTCATCAAGCTCATCAATATGCCTTTGAATGTCATGCCCCCGATGACATCATCAAGCTCCTCTTTACACCTTTGAATGACGTCATCATGACTTGAATGGCCGATTCCACAAGAGAGTTACACCAAATAGACTCAAGCCTTGGAATGTTCCACATTACACCTCTTCTAAGACCAAGTGTCTATCAAGATAATCAGTATACCTCTAGATGTCACTATCCCAGTGAACTCGTCAGATGCATCAGTACACCTCTAAACGACATCATCATGACTTGAATGCTAAGTGCACAAGAGAGTTGCGCTAAATAGAGCCAAGTCCCATAATGTTCACATTACACCTCTTCCAAAATAAGCATCCATCAAGCTCATCAATAAGCCTTTGAATGTCACTACCCCAATGACATTATCAAGCTCCTCGGTATGCCTCTTAACGACATCATCATGACTTGAATGGCTAACTCTACAAGCGAGTTGCACCAAATTGAATTAAGTCTCAGAATGTTCAACATTGCACCTCCTCCAAGACAAGCGCCCATCAAGCTCATTAGTATGTCTCTAAACTTCGCTACCCCAATGACATTAACAAGCTCCTCAGTATTGTTCGCGGTGAAAATTGCCTTCTTTGAATTCATTGTTATCTCGAATAACTGTTTTTCGGTTATAAAAGATCCGGTCTTTTTTTAGATCCGGTTATAACGAAATCAAAGAAAAAAGAAAAAATTACAACTTTCCTTTTACAACTTTCTTTTAGAACAAATCGTAAGATCCTGTTTTGCGGTCTCTTGCTTGTGTGGGTTCTTTGCCGACGCCGGGGTTAATCCGTGGACCACCGCGCGATCTAGATCCGGTCGGATCTACATGATTCGACGGGTATTATTTCGCGAAGGAAATAATAGCCGGGGCGGATTAGTTCACCAAGGAAATAATCGCCCTTACTTCTCGGGATCAAAGGCCAAGCTTTGATCCGGAGTGTGGTCTCGTGTAGATCTCAGATCTGAGCTTTACCTTTCTCGAACTCCTGCCTTTTGTGTCGTGGACGCTCGCCGAGAATCAGATCTGAATCTTCAAGTCCTCAAGTCTTCAAAAACTCTAAGCTCGATCTTTAATTCGACAGAGTTTCGGCTCTCAAAGTTCCCACCTCTTCAAATGAACATAGGGGAGCCTATTTATAGGCTCTCTGAACTGTGCCTGCGCACATATCTGGGTCGGCCACCCATGGGTGGCTGGCACTGGGCCGAGCCACCCATGGGTGGCTCGGTCTTGGCCGAGTCACCCACGGGTGGCTCGGCTTTGGCCGAACCACCCATGGGTGGCTCGGCTTTGGCCGAGCCCCCCTTAGGCGTTGGGTTTTGTTGTTTTGTGCGGTTTCGTGGTTGATTCGGACTCTGATTTGTTGATTTGATTTGGCAGTAGATCCGATTCCTGATTAGGCAGTAAATCCACTTCTGAGTTCGAGTCTGAAACTGATCTTGATTCGATCGTGATTCGTCCGAGTCTGCCCTTGGTTAGATGACTCGTTGACTCTTCGAACCCTTGGCTTGATTCTACACGCGAATGGATGTATTCCGTTGCTTGCGTGCGATCCGTCAACCTCGTCGCCTTGTTGGTTCGCCGGTTTATGTCGAGCTGTCCTGATTTTCTAATCTTTAGCTGACCATCGATTGTTGGCGTTGAGTTTTTATTTGCGACGCGTTGTCCGGCGTAGTGTTGTTGAGTTATCCTTAAGAATATTTATGAAAAATATTCTCCAGGAACTTCTCAACCGAAAATAGGGAATAGTTTATACTCGTATACCTTATTGGAGTATTTTCTGTACTCAAATGAGCTGAACCGATTTGATAATGAGCCAAAAAAGGCAGTAATTCGGCTCAAAAAATCTTCTGATTTTTCCGAACATGTGGGAGAGGCAAGAATAAACCAAGGACTGAACCCTCTGTCGATTTGAAGTTGTTTCGATGCTCGATTCAGCTTCAATTTGAATTCTGGTTCAAACCAGGTCTGGTCCGGTTCAACTTGGTCTGGTCCGGTTCAACTAGGCTTGTTTCAACATTATAAAAGAGCTCTTTTTTCTCCTCATTAGGGCCGGCCCCCCCTTAACCCTTTTTTCACTTTTCTCTTCCCTTGAGCATCCTTTCTCCCTCAAAACTTCATAGTTGCATTAGATCTAGTCTTCCTTTGGATCTTTGACTGAGAAATCCCTCAAAACTTCCATATTTAGAATTTCTCTCAGGCCTCTCGAGCGCGTGGTCTGAGTCTCTTTTAAGATCTGATTTTTATTGGATCCACGAGCTTTCCCTCAGGTAAATCCTCAACCATTTTAGCATTTTTTTTATGCTTAATTCAATTTATGAATTTGTGGGGTCGCATGCGAGGATTAGAATTAAGATTTGGCGCCTCGAGCTCACCTTTCAGGGGGGAAGAATTGCAAAAAAGAGGAATTTTTTCTAAATCTGATTCCTTAATTTATTTTGCAGGTCTCTATGTCTTGTATTGCGAGGGGTCAATCCTCTACCACGTCGGCTGATGGCGCGCCTCCCTCTTATGCTGGTGAGCTATTTTTGGAAATTTACAAATTAGTCCATTTTTTCTTGAAAATTTGCAAATTGGTCCTTTTCACCCCATTTTGTTCTCCTTGGCGAGGCAATCGGGAAGAGCCTCGATTCTCCTTGGCGAGGATCAACGCTTTAAAGATATGTTTTGCTTGGTCAAAACCATATCTCAAAATCAATAAAGGGGACATTTTGACGCTGCATTGTGCCTTATAAGGCAGGGATATATAGTCGATATATCCTATCTTATAAGTGCATAATGTGGCCAAATCGTCTCACCCTATATAAGGCAGTGACTCTATCTTACCCATTCGTAGGATGAGTTCAACTTCCTTTTATGATTGAGACTAACAACTGTTTAAATTTTTGCTTCCAGTGGAATATCCTTCTGGGGCGTTCTCATCTCACGCAGTGTACGGGCGTCGTGGTGAGTACTATTCGACTTCCGACGATTTCTCCCATATCTCAGTCACTCCTCGGTTTGCTTCGGGCACGTCGACAGAGGTTTCCCAAGTGGTGAAGGAAGGTGGATATCGAGCTCTTCGCCAGTTGATTACAGATGCGCCGCTCGTGAAGGATGCCAGTTCGATTCAGCCTCTCAAGAAGACCGACATTTTATTTGGCGATTCTGCCAGAGATCCAGATGCCATGTTTATTGATGCTGAGTAGTGGCTTCATAAGACTGGCAGCGGTTTCATATATTTGCCGAAGATTCCTCGGCATCGTTCGTTGACTGAGCTCTGGCGTCAGGCTGTGACACGGGAGATGTCGTGGCGCTTGACGGAGGAGCATGAGAGCGTTCACTGCGGATACATCACTCATCAGGTAGCTCCTGGTTCGAGTAGGAGTCACATCACTGGATTGCATCCTGGAGTATGGGGATTAGATGCACCGCCACGTAACGAGCTTCTTGCCGCTACTTCTACTTTGAAGAATCGCCTTGCTGCTTTAGGACGGGAGATGCCTGCGACACGCCACAGGTTTTATGGTTGGGTCCATTCTTTGGACAAGCTTTGGTGGACTCGCATGACGAAGTACGTCTTGAGCCGATGGAGCGAGGAGTTGCACGCTTGTGGTCTGTATGCAGCCGTTCGTGCCACTATGTATGGTTTGCCTGTTAGCACGAAGCATTTCTTCGCTTTGTGCGAGCTCTACAACCCGGATTCGAACACTTTTCTGACACGGCAAGGGGAGTTGGGCTTGGCCCTCCATGAGATGCACAGGATTTCTGGTTTGCCCATGGGACAAATGCTATATCAGGAATATTTTCCCTCCAACCAAGAATTGAGT